CTGGGGCACAGGGGGTGACTCTGGGGATGGGTCTGTGCAGGGCTGAGGATCTGGACTGGATGATCCTTGTGGGTCCCTCCAGCTCAGCACATTCTGGCATTCTGTGTCCCTGCATCCCTGCCCATGGCAGGGGGTGGAACGAGATGGGCTTTAAGGTCCCTTCCAACCCAAACCATGATGGGATTCTTTGGTATCTGTACAGTGCTGGCAGTGCTGTGATGCTGATCCAGACCCACTGAGCAGGAGGACAAGGCAGGACAGTGCTTGTCTCTGAGCTGGGGAGGTTTTAGCTCTGCATCTTCCCAGCCCCCTGCAGAGGGTGCTTCTCTCCTTGGCAGAGCCTTGCACATCTCTTGTGATCCACAGGGGCACTGTAACATCATTCAGACACAGCAGCCTCCAATAAAAATCCTGAAAAGCTCTAATAGCCTTTAGGTGGGGCTGGAGGTTTCCTGGCAACATCTCCCTTGTTTGGGATTGCTGCTGAGAACATTCACCTGCAGAAACCTCCCAGGGAAACACACTATTGCCTGCTCCTGATGGAGCAGGATCATTTGTGTAGCCAGCAGTGAATTCTCCCTGAAGCTCTTTCCCTTCAAGGTAATCTGTTCCTCTGCATTACAAATGCTGAAGGACTTAACACGCTAGGAAAGAACAACCTGTACCGGCTGTAGATTCGTTTCTCCAGGCACTTTCTGTGCTCAAAGCAAGGCTTAATCAAATGCATTGATCCTTGGATTGCTGTGTAAAGGCTCTCATTTCAGTCTTTTCCTTTTGTTAAAAATGGAACTCTTTAATATGCTCTTTAATATGTGGTTACTGTACACTCTACATGTAGCAGGTCTCCTAAAATAACATTAGTTCCTGGGGCTTGTAAGAACATGTCTTTCAGATGGAGTCTGATTATTTAGTGTGGATGTTTGACATGCTGTTATAAACCTTGGCTTTTCCCCTTTTTCTCTGATGGCAGTGACAGCTCTAAGGAGATCTGACTGGAATTGCTCCCACAGAGGTGGCTGTAGGTCTGGCAAAAGTATTGAAGTCCTGTCCACTTGGGGGGTTTTACAGGAGCATTTCAGTGCTGGTTTTCTCCCCCGCCGTGTAAAGCCACGTTTTGCAGCCTTGAACATGAATCTTAGACAAACCAGAGTTTTAAAATTGTTGTTTATGCTTTCTGTGTAATCTGTTTTTATGGGACGTGGCCATAACTCTGCTCATTGCCCCAGTGAAGTATCTGCTGAGCTTGAAATGGTTGTGTATATCAGTGTTTATAATAAGGCTTAATGGTTCTGAACAGTGTTTTATGTGGAAAATAATCACTTTTATGAGCAAGAGGGAAAGCTGGTCCTGAAGCTGCTTTGGGAAGCAGCCTGAGATTGTGCTGTTCCACTTCTAAACACAGCTCAAAGTGTGAGCAACAAATCAGATGCCAGAAGACTCTCAGCTTGTTTATTATGACTCGAAGAGGAGGAATAATGACAAGAATTGAACATTTCCTGCTGGGCTGAGCCAGAGGTTTGCAAAAATCCTTTGAATGAGGAAAAGGCCATTGACTGAGCTGTGCTGCTCCTGCCCCTGCTGACACCTCAGTGAACGAGAGACCTGCAGGTTGGGATAGGGAACCTCTCACATCTCCAATTTGAGTGGCTTTTCTGTCTCAAAGTTTTCTTCAAAATTGTCTTATTCCTGCCAATGGCAGGAATTCAATTTTTGGGAGCTTGACAAGCTCCCACCGAGAATAGTTTGTTGAAAAATTGCCAACCAACTCCTTTGCTCGTCGTTTTGCTGCCCAGGGTATTTATAGGAGGATGGTGGTGACTGTCACTTGGGTATGCAGAGAAAAAGATCCATTTTGGTAACATGAATGGAGAGGTTTTCTGAAATTCCCAGCTTTTGGATGTGGGCTGACAGAGGGTGGTGGCAGTACAAACCTAAATAAAAATCCTTTAGGATTTTAATAGTCCCTTCGGTTTGCAGCCTCCTGTAAATCTTAAGTACGGGGGTTTTTTGTTGTTCTGTACATTTGGGTTTTTGCCCAGGGTTTGTTATGATGGTACCTGTTCCTCCTGGCCTCTGCTTGCAGTGAAATTACAGTAATTACTAAGAGAAGCAAAGTAATTTCTTCTTCTCTTGACTGTAACAGTCTCAAAGAGGATGTGCTTTGCTGTATCTCCTACCAGGAGTGAAATTCCTGGGCTTGGGAAGAAGACAAACTTGTACTTCAGTGGGAATGTGGGTTAGAATTTAGTTTTCAGAATTAAAGTTTAGTTTTTCAGAATGAAATCCAGGGAACCAGGCCTGAGAGGAGAAATCTTGGAGAGTGTTCTGTTCAAAGTGCTGTAGCACAGAAGATATTCTGTATATTGTAGGCCTTTTTTTTCTTTAAAGGTCTACCTTAAAATAAATAATGCAAGATACTGCCAGAAGTCTTTTCACCTTTCTCCTCATCTCAGCAGTGACAGTCTCATATCTTTTGTCTGGGTGAAAAGGTAAAAAAAAAAAAACCAAAACAAATCCAGAGCCCAGCACATACTTAGAGCATAAGCAGAAACATTAAATATTGATCCCAAATCCTGGCTTTTAAGGAATGCTTAAAGAAAATCGAATGCTTTGTTTCAAACTGCAAGAAGTGGGTTCTTTGAGCAAAGTGCTCGTTCAGGCCTGCTCATCAATTGTTCATTCCCTGAGAAGAATTGAATAAATTGACTGGAGGAAATCTCAGCCTGGAAAATGCAAATTTTGGCAGTTGCAAAATTCCACAGCTTTCCTGACCTTTGGGGTTCCTAAAAATGAAGAAGGAAGGGCCCTGTTTGGTTTTGGCTGTGCTGGGTTGGAAGGGGATCAGCTGGGGACAGTGGTTGGTTCCAGTCTTGGTGCTGGGACATAACTGAGCCCAGAGTACCTTGCTGAGCCCCAGCCTTTACCCTGGCACTCCTCTCACCTCATTTAAAATACTTATTAAGATCTAGTGCTGATGGAAAGGTGGTCTAGGATGGCTGGTGGCTTCCAGTGACACTGGGATGCTTTGAGCACTCAGAGACATTTTCCCTGTTGGGATGGGTTTGTTCTTCTAGTCAAGAGGAAAGGCAGAAAATTAAGGCATTAACAGAGTAGTTGTCTGGGTCGTATTTGAAAACTTGAAAGTACCAGCAATTACATGAACATCTTTCTCAGCCATGTTCTGCCAGATGTAATTTGCTGAAAGCAGAGTGTGGGAAGGTGTCAGTTAAACACTGGATTCATTAATTTTTTCGTGGCTCCTGGGGATGCAGAGGTGAGCTCAGCTCTCTGCCAGCCCTTGGCTTCACAGAACTTTCATGTAGAAAAAGCTGCTGTGAGGTTGCTGTTTGTCTGGTAGAGCACCTGTGTGTGCATCTGAAAACCTGACAGCTTCAAGTGACCAGGCAGGCTTTAAAAAGGGAGAAGTGAGGCACAAAGAGACTCAGGAATTATCTCTGGGACAGCTTTGAGAGAGAGGGGGGTGTTCAGCCTGGAGCAGAGAAGGCTCTGGAGAGACCTTGGAGCCCTTTCCAGTGCCTGAAGGGGGTTTGGATGAAAGAGGGAGAACAACTTTTTAGGGGGGCAGAGACAGTGACAGGAGCAAAGTTGGGAATGGTTTTAAACTAAAAGAGGAGAGATTTAGGTATTAGGAGGAATTTCTTCCCTGGGAGGGTGGTGCAGGCCCTGGCACAGGTTGTTCAGAGAAGCTGTGGCTGCCCCTGGATCCCTGGAAGTGTCCAAGACCAGGTTGGAGCAACCTGGGCTGGTGGAAGGTGTCCCTGCCCGTGGCAGGGGGTGGAATGGGATGAACTTTAAGGTCCCTTCCAACCCAAACCAGTCTGGGATTCTGTGTCTCCATGAAGCTGTGACCTGACAGCAGAATTTAGCCCTGGGCCAGTCCATCCCCTCTGCCCTCGTGCCCCTGGGCTGTGTTGGAGGGTGAGTGGGATGATGGGTGTCAAGGTGTTTGTGTCATCCTGGCAGGGGGCTTTGCTAAAGGAATTTCCTAAAGAAATCCCCTTAAATTTGAGGATGCAACTTTGGTACTGGCTTGTTGTCACTGATCTACCGGAGTCTGCAAGTTCATTTGGGTCACCTTTTCATTTCAGATGATGTCATGGAAATGGTGCTTTGAGGCTTTGTTTTGGAATCTCCTGCTTTGCTTTGTGTATTTGATTCCTGGTTTGGTAGAGCCTGCTGATATATCAGAGGCTGGATGGTTTGGGAGTGAGAAAAGAAAGGAACTGGGCAAATGGTTTGTATGTTTTCTTCTGGATTTTGTGTTTGTTGATGAAATGTTGGAGTATTATGTTCCCCTTTGTCAATGATCCTGAATTAAACTTCCTTGCTTAAAAAGTACTGGGGGAAAGGGAGAAGCTTTGTTTCAGGTTGGATTGCTGAAATTATCTCACCTTGAGAAAAACACGCCCTTTAGGAGTTCCTGGAACTTAGTATGGCTTTATTTCCTCATTTATGAAATTCAGGCAAGTGTGAGGTTTTAAACATTTTAAATTACCTCTATTTGCAAATCTTAGCCCTTTCTGAGTAGTGCCTGATAAGCCTTGGGGATTCGTTTCTTAAACCTATTTGCCTGTGACCTTTTCAGCTAAAGAGTGAAAAAAAAGATGAAATACAAACAAAGGTACAAACTAATCTGCTTCTCCCAGAGTGTCAGAGGGCTGTGCTTTTCCCTGGCAGGTCTGGAACACAAATCTTTGCTATTGCAGAAGGTCTTTCCTCAGGGTTCAGGGGGTGTCACGTGTTTTAATATGGCAATTATTGACTGCAATGTTAACTGGTGTTTAACTTCTAACAGATTTATTCAGAAGCTAAGTAGGCTGGTTTCTTTTCTAAATGTCTTATTAGCAGAAAAAGTACAACAAGCCTTCGAGAAACTCAGTGAAACACAAAGAGAGAGAATGCTGGAGAAGGTGTATGATTTTTAGAATGATAAATGCTGGAAATAACTATGTCCTAAGTATTTGTGTATTATTTTACAGGTCTGAAGGTGACAGCTCAAGAAGCATCAGGTATGTGTTCCTCGTTTTCTTTCTGTCTTGATGTCTTTGTTCTAAGCAAATACTTTATTTAAAAGCATTAAATAGAAGTAGATTTTTTTAGAGTGTGGGGTTTGTTGGTTCTGCTTAGCATGCCATTTGTATTTTGAGTAAGGGAGCTTGATAAGCTACTGAATAATTCTATGCAAGTGTGGCTTAAGACTGATGTATTATTTTTGATCATTGCAAAAAGCGATTTATAGTTACTTTCTGGTGTTTTCAGTCAAAATGTGAGCTTAACAGTCATTTGTATTGCCAAAGCTGCCTGCCAGGTTTTGGGGCAGCAGCTGTGTTGGGGAGAAGTCCATGTACCTGTTCTGGCTTTCTTAGTAGTCTCCTCTTCTTCACTTGACAGCAAGAACCTTCATTGACTCATGATTACAATACCCATTATACACTTGGAAGATTCGGAGAATGTGGAGCATTTAATGGAATTATCAGATACTTTACTTCTCACTTGCTCATTTAGCATTTTATACTTCTTACCTCCAGGGTATTCTTTATTCCTACCTCTCTGCAAATGTGGCTGAGTCAAACTTGTAGAGCTTGGAAAAGTGCAATGTTAAAATTCCATACTTGAATCCAAAATGTTCCATATTCATTAGACCATTGCCATAAAGCAGATGCCTTGATTCTCGAGGGGTGGAACTATTGATCACTGATAATAAGGTTCATAATACTGGCTGTGGGTTCACCATAAAAACCCTGCAGCTCCTTTTGGGGCCTGTCAGGACTTTGCATCTGAAGACATTGCCTCTTGTTTCTTGTAAAACCCCGAAACAAAGTCAGGACCTTCCCTTGCAGAGTTAAAAATCCAGCTCTCAGCCACAGGTGTGCAGCCCATCCACAGAAACAGGTGGGTTGCAGAATGGCTGGTGTGATATCAGAAAACCAGAAGTCTGCAGGAAGTGGTTAAAGATCCTCTGAAATGATTTTTTTTCTTACAACAGAATCCAAGGGCAGTGGGTGTGGACCTGAGCTGTGCAGGGCACGTTGGGAGTGTGTTTAATACACGACAAGTGAACTGGAGAGGATCAGAAGCTGTGGGAAGATGCCTGTGCTTTATTCCTTGGGCTTTTAACTCTCAGCAGGCTGTGGAAGGACTAATGCAAACTAAAAATAAGTCCACTGGCACTGGATTTGCACAAGTGTGGTTGACTGAGGCCATGTTTCAAACTGTTCTTGTTTTGACCTGCTGAGCCTCCTGTAGGATTTGGCTGCTCAGATGGGGCAGGGTGTGTGTGTGACATCACTGCTGTGGGTGCCCTTGGTCAGAGTTGAGTTCCTCTGTTAGACACCTATTCTGAGGTGTTTCAGTTGTGTGCAGGCACAGCCAGTCACTTCAGCTCTGGGTTGGGTGCTACCTAAAAACTAACCCCTGATAGAACTCCAGCCCTTGTTGCTCCCACACTTCTTAACAAACTGGGTTATTTCAGTGTATGTGTTATTTGACTGATGGAATAATGTTGGTGTGTCTTGCCAGATCAATCCTGCACCCTGCAGGGAGGGGGTGCTCACAGTGGGGGCCTCTGTGGAATCTGGGAGGGCTCCATGGGGCACATTCCTGCTTGGCATGGTGGGAATCAGCACCACGTGTTCCTACAGAGACCTGCAGGCACCAGAGCCTTGGGGTGCTGATCTCATCTTCTGCTTTGAGGCTGTTCAGTGAATTAATTCTGTTATTCAGACAGTTCCAGACTCCTAGGAGAGCCTAAAATTAGGCTCTCGTGGAAAACAGGCTAATGCAGGAGCAGGCAATGCAAGCACAAGGCAGAGCCATCCTCCTGAAATGCTTTTTCAGTGTAACTCTTTCACCCTCCCTCTTAAACTGCATTTTCTCAGAGGTAAAACGCCACTGAGGGTGTGTTTTTGTGTTTCTGCTGCACATCATCCTGGTCAGCTCTTGTCTTGTCTTGGCCAAAAGCTCCCTCAGCTCCTTATCAGTGTCCAGGCAGCGTCTTTATGTTGTGGCTAATTTGCTTCATGATGTTTTCCTTTATTTCTGGCAAATGAAGATGAAATGTAATTATCTCAAATGAAATGATCAGGTCAGTCTGGGGAATGGTGCTTAAACTCAGAAGGGAAGAAATCACTGTTCCTGCTCACAGAGACATCAGCAAAGCACCAGCAAATCCGTGTACTGACCTGTCCAATGGTTCCCTTCAGCTCATGAAATCCAGTGTAGGAAGGAGCTGCAGCAGGTGAGAGGCCAGGAATAGAATGTTCTGTCTCAGCATTAATTGGACACCATGTGGAGTGAAGTCACGACTTATGTTTGTGGTCAATAAGCAAAAGCATTGGCTGGGATTGAGCTACTCAGCCATTAACACTGAAGGTAAAGGATCACTCCAAATAAACTGGGATGCAACCATTTGTTTTTGCCCTCCTCTCTGCCAGAAGGTTGGTTGGAGATCAGATGGGTGGCAGCAGGTATTGCTGGGTCACCAGAACCCTCTTCCTGGTGGAAGTTCAGTGCCTTGTTCTGTGGCAGTGAGATGTTTGTTCATGTTCAAGGCCACACAGGCACAATAATTAACCTTTATCTTCGTGTTTCTGGCAGACACAGAGAGAGGAACAGCTCAGTCTCTTGGATAAGCTCCACTGCCATGGGCACTGGCTCACAGAGTGGGGCTGCTCTTCACCAGGCATTTCCCTCCCTGCCCTCCCTACAACCTGACAAACCTCCACCTTTGTCATCCTCATTAAGCTTATTAATTCTTCTAGAAGAGTGTTTTGAGACATTTTCAGTAAACAGAAAAACAGAATTCCAAAGGACTTGTGGGGGTTTTTTTGTCTTGTTTTGTCACTGCCTTTCCCACCTCTCCTCCCCACCCCCAGGCTGGGATACAAGGAGGGTTTGGGGGATGGAGTCTGACACCAAACACACCCTGGGAACGGGAATCCTTGGCTTTGGTTTGGTCTCTTGCAGCTGAATGAGTGTCATCAGGAACTTGACCAAGAGATTGGATTTGGAATAGCGGGTGGTTTTCATTCTGGAATGGAATATCCAAGAGATGCCCTAGATTTTTACATACACAAGGTGTTTTGAAATGCAGAAAACACTGAGTGTGACCGTGCAGGGGCAAGGTTGATGCAGAAAAGCAATAGGATTCCAAATAATATACTGAAACGATTAAAAATCATCTTGACTTTTTTATTTGGCTTTCTCACTGTGGCAAAAAATAATGAATTATCCCATTGTGCAAGCCCTTAAAAGTCTTCTCTGCTTATAACATTGTTGCACTGCAATAAACTCGCCTCGCTTTCCTTTTCCTGCATGCCATGTAATTTCCAAGCCTGGGTATTTGTTAAATCTATTAAAATTGATAAATTGCTTTGAACACTTTGCATTCTGGCTGTAATGAACACACCCAGGGAGCTGTGAAGCTGTCGGGGTGAGGGGCTGCTTTAATTAGCTGTCTTTGTTCACATGTTGCCAGTAGAAAATGTAATTTGTTTTACAAGCAATTCTGATATTTGGTAGTGTTACCTGCCAGTTCCAGATGAGGATGTACATATGGAGTGCATCACAGCAAAGTTTGCAGTAATAATTTGTCTCCAGGTTCCTTTTCCCTCTGCTGTGGACCCCGTGTGGTCAATGGACACAGCACTGAGGATGTGAGCAGTGGGTGAGGTGCAGGGGGACTCACAGGGAGCAGCTCTGAGGAGAACCCCCCTGAAACCTGCCCAGAAACACCTCTGCCCTGCCTTTCCTTTCCTTCCCCAGCTTCATTCTTACAAGAGATTCACGGTGGTACAAATGGCTTAAAGATGTACCATCTAATTAACCATTTCCCTGGGTATCCCTTTGCTGATTTTCTGCCAGTGAGGTGAATTCCACTGGAGATGACTGGAGCTCCTCCCCACAGCTGCTCCACGACATTCCTGCTGGGATGCTTTTCCTGATCAGCTGGCAGCACAGGGCACCCTGCTGACCTTCTCCCAGCAGCTGTCCTGGGCAAATTTGGAATTTCTCTGTCCTCTCTGGGGTTTTTTGCTTCCTTTCTAGTTGTTCCTTCCCAGTTGTTTGCTTTTTAAAGGAGAAATGAGGTACAAAATTGGGGGAAGCTGTAAGTAACAGTGCATAAAAGGAGAGGGCTTTCCTGGCTCCTTATTGCCAAAAAGGTGGGGTGTTCTGGGAGTGCCCATTTAATTTATGATACATGCAAAAAAAGGGAGTGGAGGGCCTGAAGGTTAGTTTAAAAAGAAGAAGAAAAAAGAGGGCAGTTGAGGCACCAGCTGTGGAGAAGACACCAGCTAAATTATTTAGCTGAACTAAAAGAAAAGTCTCAGTCTATAATGGACGTGGGAAGTTGTGTGTCTATTGAGGATCATGCAGAAAGGCTCATTTCTTGTAAAGGTGTACATTAGATTAAGTGGAAAACTAATTGTCTAATTTACCTGAGAGCAGGAAAGAGCTGTAGAATGTCAGCCTCGTTGTGTGCTGTGAGGAGGGGGAGGAAGGGCTGTTAAACAGACCCTGACAAACTGCAGGCAAAGCCGAGCAGGAAGCGAAGTTTGGGGAACTCTTTGTGTTGTTTTTACTCCAGGAAAATCAACTTGAACTCTGTGACTCAGCCTCCTCTCTGAGAGCCTGCAAAGTACAGGTTTGGGGAATTAAAGGCAGGTAGACTTTAAAACTAATTTAATTTAAAGCTACCTTGTAAAACCAATTTTCAAGTTCAAATGTATTGCTGTGCAATGGAAATGACTCAGTGACTGTATATAAAGATGGCCCTTTCTGGCTGATTTTAATCATTCTATAATGATTCTTCCACAGTTTTATAACCAGTCCTTAAAATGTGCAAGGTCATCACTTCTTAGGAATTTTTGAAATCCCCCAAATTTTCCTCCAATAGATTTTTACATAAATTTCAGGCTGACCCTCTGCAGTAGAGTGGAATATGATGAGTCTCTTGATGCTGGATTAAATTAATTTTATTACTGCTAACAGAAATAAAACATATGGAAAC